ACACTTCTCCTTCCTCCATTCTTCTTGCCGCGCCTCCTTTCACAATGGGCTCTGTGTTCCCAGCATGTATTCTGTATTGCCCAGTTGAATGTCCATTTAGATGACGGATTGGTTTCATTTGGTATGTTTTCCCATCTATTTCAATTTCACAGGATTCCATAACTTCCTGGATGGCCTCCCCAGCACCACGCAGATGAACATCAGTTCATCACTTTATTCCAGTATTTGTAGCATCCTTTACAGCTTTTAATAATGTATCATATTTGGTATTAAAAGTGACAGTAAAAGCACAGCCAATAATCCTACCACTTATGTGTGTTCTGAAATCTATCTTATAGAGGTCATCATACTGTAATACTGCTGTGTCACCAGCATTGGGAGGATAATGGGCAGCACAATTATTGAGAGAACATTCAGTAGGAAATGCCAGGCCTGCATTTAATCTGTTCTCTTTTATCAATTTGAGTGAACAGTCTTCTAACTTTTCACAGATTTCTATCATTGTCACCCTGGGCTTGATCCAGCTCATAACATATTTTCTAACTTGTCGATGTGCTTCTTCACTTCTTGAAAATCATTCCAAATCTTGGCGCCTGTGGCTCAAGTGGCTAAGGCACCAGCCATATACACCTAAGGTGGCAGGTTTGAGTCCAGCCCAGGCCCACCAAAACAATAATGATGGCTGCGATGACATAAAAAGAAAAAAGCCAGGCATTGTGGCAGGCACCTGTGGTCCCAGCTACTTGGGAGGCTGAGGCAGGAGACTCACTTGAGCCCAGGAGTTGGAGGTTGCTGTGAGCTGTGGTGCCACAGCACTCTAACCAGGGGGACAGCTTCAGGCTCTCAAAAAAAAAAAAAAAAAAAAACCCAAATCTCTTCACTGGCCTGATCTAAAGCTTTCTTTTCTTCACTTGTAGTTCTCCAAGTAGCTGTTTGCGATCTTCTGTGGGTGGGTATTTGTGCTCTTGCCCTTTGGGAAATACACCATTAGGATATAGGTCACATATTAGAACTGAAGGAGGATCTGTTTGAATTTTTTTTTTTTTTTTTTAAGCTGGGACCACAGGTGTCTGCCACAATGCTTGGCTATTTTTTGGTTGCAGCCATCATTGTTGTTTGGCAGGCCCAGGCTGGATTTGAACTCACCACCTTAGGTGTATGTGGCTGGCACCTTAGCCACTTGAGCCACAGGCGCCGAGCCTGTTTGAACTTTTGATTTTCTCTTCTCCTTCTTCTTTATATTGTTCCATCCCCATCACCATCTTCGTCATCATCATCTCTTTTTCTTCAATACTTGTTTTTCCACTTGTCTCGCTACCTCACCCACTGAGGCCACTGATTCTTTATGAGGTTCTTGTTGCCCTGCTGCAGCAGCCCTTTTACTCTCCTTCTTCTTCCATCTTTTTTTCTTGGCTGCTTTTTTGGCCGTAGAGGTAGCTTCTGCCTCCCTGCTGTCTAGATCCAACTCACCATTCGGATGGCTCCCTGAGGCCGCTGCCTCCTCTACGCCAGCCACGTTGCCCAAGAAAGTGTGAGGGAATGAGACAGAGTGGTGAGGGCCCACTCATTCTTCCTCTTCCACACCTTCTACTGGAACTTCATTGGATTCACCACACAAGACCTGTGGGGAGAGTTTGCGCTACAATTTATATTTCTTGAGCCAACTACTTGATGTTTGGTAATCTGCTGCCTCAAATCCCTGTGTGAGTTTTTTTCTTTAGCAACTTTGTGGATTGGGCATTAACTGCCCTCATTTGTTTCAACCAGCATAATGTGGCTTCATTTACTTCATGGAGGCAATTTTTCCTCCTTTTCCACTATAGGTTTCCACTCTCCTTACCATATTCTCCAGGTACTCATGTTTACTTCTTTTTTTTGAGACAGAGTCTCACTTTGTCACCCTTCGTAGAGTACCATGGTGTCATAGCTCACAGCAACCCCAAACTCTTGGTGCGAGCTATCTTCTTGCCTCAGCCTCCCAAGTAGATGGGACTATGTGCATCCACCACAAACAAGACTATTTCTAGAGACGGGGTCTCACTCTTGCTTAGGTTGGTCTTGAACTCCTGAGCCCAGACAATCCACCTCGGCCTCCCACAGTGCTAGGATTACAGAATGAGCCAACATGCCCCACCTATGTTTATGTTTTTGGACATTGCTAACTGTGGTCTTGCTAACACTAAAATGTTTCCCTGTCTTTCTTTGGCTACAGCTTTCTAGAAAATATAGAAGATCAACCTTTTCCTTTAATGTCAGCTCTTTGAGTTCTTTCCCTTGGGCCACCATGTCTCAGTTAGCTGTAGGATGTACCTACAGTTCAGACCAGTACTTCACCTTGAAAACTCTCCCATAACACATGATAAATAATAGCATGCCAGGCCTAATCCAACACATGGTGATTGCAGAACATGAAAAAAGAACTTACACTAAAGGAAAAACAATATAACTATGGGGCAAAGCCCACACCTTTTACCCCTGCTGTAGAGTGGGCTCAACTGGTCAAGTTATAGAGGGTAAATTACTATTGTGTGTCACAGTCCAAGTGGTCAAGATACAACTTCCAGAGGTGGGCAATATGTAGAGGTCAGACTTCCATTATGTGCATATGGTGTATGCCCAGTCTATGAAAATTAGGTCAACTTAAGGAGGTGACCAAGGCAGGCAGGTGGTCAGCTATGGAGATTCTACTATATATTTTCTACAGAAAGAACAGAAAGATACTTCATACACAAGTAAACTTGTTCTGTGTGGTGCTACTACCAGTTTATGTGTTTACAAGCATGAGAATTCACAGATCAATTCTATTAAATATCAGGAGTCCCTCCAATAATGTACGGTGTGTTTATAATTTTATCTGCTACACTTGGAATACAGGCATATTCCTTACAAGAGAGAATTTCCCTTCTAACTAGGTGTAGTTGAGAAAGCCATACTAACAATGCTATGTGTTTTATGATGGAAGGAAGTGCCACACACTAGCTTCTGGCTCTGTTTCTCTCAAACTCTGCTACTCCTTTGGTAACAGAACCCTTCTAATGCTGAGTAATGGAGGGGAACTAAGGTGTCACCAATGTGACACTCAAAGAGGATGGTATGTATTTCACTGGTAGCCATTCCTATACCCGGACAATTAGCAACAACACAATTACACAAAACCATAAACCACATACAGACATCTTACCAAGGCTAGGTCTTACCAAGGTTGAAACTTAAGGGAGCTGAGATTCACACAGGTACATTTACACCTTGACACCTCTCTTAGCTCACCCTCATCCTGGCTTTGTATACTATTAAATCCAAACAAAAATGTCTCTCCAAGGTGGTGCCTGTGGTTCAAGGAGTAGGGAGCTGGCCCCATATACCAAAGGCGGTTCAAACCCACCCCCCCAAAAAAAAAGTCTCTCCAAATTCACTTTCCTTGGCTTGATCCCCCAAATGGTCAATGGCTACTTAAAAACTACTCAATATGAGGGTTAAAATTGACCTCCAACAAGAGACAGTGGATTTAACTGATGGTGGTTAAAATATATATTTTTGAAAACTTTACAGAAATATACTACCATGTATTTACATTGCTATGTTTCCCAGGGCCTTGGAAGATGTTCTGTGTAAAGTAAGGGGCCCTGGATTCAAGCTTCTAGCTTCTTGATAAATCCCATCTCTGCAATCCAACTATGGTCATACTTCCAAGTCTATCATACTGTCTTATTTTTGCCTTCCAGACCTTGGTTAGAAGTTCAGGCTGTAGGGTTAGACTCCTTGGGTTTGGATCTGGGAACAGCTACTTACTAATTGTGGAATCCAATTCATTAGTTACTAATGTGCCTCAGGTGTTCTCATCTGTAAAGTGGGTATAACTTTAAGATTCAAGAAGTTAGTTCATGCAGAACGCTTTCTTCCGGGTCTGGCACACTATAAAAGCCCAATGTTTATTAGCTATTGTTATTTATACTACTGCTAACTAATAGTATTGTGTTCATATTAATAGTATGTGGCTCTTCTCACACCACACTGTAAGTCCCCAGGCATCTTTGTATTCTGTCCAGGCCCCAAAGAGACATGTCATTTTCTGAATGGCCATCTCATTTTCTGAGACTGTTGCCAACACACAGGAAGAAGGAAGAGAAAGGTGTCAAATATAAAAGGAATTTTCAGATAATATTAACGCCTCCAAATTATATGTAAGTAAATGAAAGGATTTGGGCTACAGAAATTTGCTGGACCATAAATGTATCATGCAGGAGTGTCCAAAACACTGCCCGTGGCTGCGTGGGAATCATGTGAGGACTTTTTCATTCATCTGTGGTGGTCTTTATCGCAAAACTTATGCAGAGACTTTTTTTTTTCCTTTTCCCTTCATCAGCTTTCCGTACTATTTGCGTATTTAATGTGTGGACCAAAACAGCTCTTTTTCCAGCAGCATCTTCCAAGCCAAAAGAAAGTCAAATGAGCATTACATAATGGGCCTGGCATCTTTTTGCTTCAACATGAAAAGGAATTTGTCGAGAAGTTGTCACAATGCCGGCAACAGTTCGACTTAAAAAAAAAAGCTGCCGGTTAATTCAGTTTCACCCACCAGATGGGCAGCAAGGAAACTTCGTTTCCCCCCGCGGTGGAGCGCAGTGGCGGAAGGGGCCCGCACCGCACCGGGCGGAAAAGGCCCAAGCTCCGGCTTCCCGGTCCGCGTCGGCGCCAGAAGGCGGGACGGCGCCGGCCGGGGAGCAGCGGCCACAGTCTCGGGAACCGGGAGGAAACCGCATTCGCAGGGAGGGCACTGGCTCCCCCGAACGTTGTTCTAGGTCCCCCGGCTCCGGCGTCCGCCCCCCGCCCCCTACGGAGCCTACTCGGCTGAGGGTGGGGTGCAGGGGCGCGGCGCGCCGCCGGGTGGCGCTGTGGCCTCGGCTCGGGGACCGATCCGCCCGGCCAGACCCGCCTCCTTCCCCTCCTTGTCCGCCCACCCCCACCGCGTCGTGTCGCGGGCAGCCGAGCGGAGACAGAGCGTTCGGGATCCGCGGCTTTCGGGCCGCAGTCCTGCACTCGCTCGGGGCACAGCCGGCCAGCGCCGCTGCAGCGCGGAGCCGCGACCCTCCCCGGCAGCCTTTGTCTGCGAGGCGTGCGGCCCGGAACCGCAGCGCTCGGGGCCGGGAACGCGCCCGCTGTGGTGGGTGACAGCTCCTCCCTCCCGCAACCCTCCGCGGCAGAGGGGCGGTCGGGCAGGGCCCTGCTCCCCAGGGCCGCGCGCGCGGACCAATGCCCCCGCAGCAGGGGGACCCTGCGTTCCTCGGCCGCTGCGAGGCGCCTCCCGTGCCGCCGCGTCGGGAGCGCGGGGGACGCGGGGGTCGCGGGTCCGTGGAGCCGGGGGGTAGGGGGCGCGCGGGCGGTGCCGAGGGGCGCGGCGTCAAGTGCGTGCTGGTCGGCGACGGCGCGGTGGGCAAGACGAGCCTCGTGGTGAGCTACACCACCAACGGCTACCCCACCGAGTACATCCCCACCGCCTTCGACAACTTCTCGGGTGAGCCGGGGCCCGGGGTGGGAGTCCGGGGGTCTGGGGGCGCGTGGCCGCTGTCTGCTGCGAGGAGGGCGAGCGGCGCGAGGGTCGCGGGGCCCCCCGGCGGCTGCCGGGCCCTGTGCCCAACCCGGCAGAGAAGCCGGACAAGTGGGGGTGCGGGACGTCCCCCGAGCCCACCCAGAGGGATGGGAAGCGCCCAAACCCGAACGTGGGGAGGGGCAGGAGCGGCAGTTAAAGAAAAGATCTCGAGGTGTGGTCACAAGATAAGCAGGAGTCAAACAGGTGGAGTTGAGGTTGCCTGGTCAGTTTGCAGCCGAGAGAAGTTTGGTCAGGGCGACGTAACCGGCGCCGCTGCGGAGCTGCGATCGGAAGGTGACTCGCTGGTGCTTTGACCTGTGCCCCTGCGTGTTAGTCCAACCTTTTCTATCAGGTGGCTCAGCTCATAAGGGGCGTCTCCACTTTAAAGAGCCGCGGAGATTACTTGATTTTGTGAAAATAGGCTTAGGTTTGATTAAACACCATTTCTTTCTTTTTTTCTAAGTCCTACCGCCTCCCCTGTCCTGGCCTTTCTGTTTGGCTGTTTCTGGTTGTATCTTTTCCGTATCTCTTTAAGCTGCTTAAAGTTCTTAAGTGTGTATGTTTGTGTGTAGGGGTGCTGTGTCATTTGGTTTGGTAGATTCAAAGACAGGGATGAATCCTTTATCTTGATTTTTCATGTCTTTTTGAAATTTAAGAGAAAGTTAAAATTCACAAACGCCAGTGTGAAACATTTACTGTATTGCTTTTTAAAATATTTGTTTCTCTGACCTTTCTTTTATCTCAGGTACCCTAGATAAAAAGGTGCCGTGCCAGTGGGTTTCCATCTCAGGGACTGTTTCTTTTATCACCGCCACCCCCAGCTGTCTAGTATAAACAATTAGAAAGTTGTACAGAAGAGACAACGCCGAGTGCTTAAATAAAATAGAAACTTCCACAGCTTGTCCTGCCTTAGACCTCACCCCTCCCTGAGAAACCAAATCCCAGTGGGCACAGATTTCTTTCCTTTCCTTGTCTTTTTAAATCCTCTCTTTGAACTGACAGAGAGAGATAAGGAGTGCTCTCTTTTTAAAACAGGATCATGTGGGCAGCCTGTGTTTGCACATGCTCTCCAAACAAACTAGAATTTTATGATAAATGCTGAAGTTGGGGACCATTTCCCAAGGGAAAACAGAATCATTTGTGAGGTTTTCCACTGATTTAACACTGGTTGGTTCCCACTTACCCGCCAGTGTTGTTTTTAGGTCCTTTGAAACAAGTGTGACAGGAAGATAAATCTTCAGGGCTGGGAGAAAAGCCCAGGCCCTTCTAGGGGGCACCGAGCCCGTCAAAGGACTCAGGGATTTAGTTGCTGCCTCTCTCCTGGCAGTGGAGTGAAGGTTTGTATACAGGGCTTCCGCATTTTAGGAAAGTCTTTAATTCATTAGAGGACCTAGAATGGGAGCTGAAGGGGTTAGAGTGAGAATGACAGCTCAAGCTAAAACTATTTGTCTCCTGAAAGAGGTTAAAACACACCTCCTAATTGTCATTTGGTTCTTGTTTTTAAGCTGTAGTGTCTGTGGATGGGCGGCCTGTGAGACTCCAGCTCTGTGACACCGCAGGACAGGTCAGTATCATGTTGCAGCTCAGTGCTGGCAAAGGGAACAGCCTTTTAAAGGTTTCCAAATAACCTTTGAGGAATTTCCAAATGATTCCCTGGGTCATTCTAAAGTAGACCTGCCCCTATTGTTGGCCCCTGGGGGCAGGGGTGGGCCGGGGAGGACAGAGAGGGGAGATACCTTCAAACCAGTGAAACGAGGGTTGGCCTGGTTATGACCAGCAAAGGGAGGAAGCAGGTCAACAGTAGGTCTTACCTTATAGGACTTTCAGATATTACTTTCTCATTTTCATGAAATATTTCAGTTATGCTTTATAATCATTTATCTCAAGGCAAGATAGTGATAACTTATAATCATATATTAAAGGCCAATGGGCTAGATATTTAAGAAATTTTCTCAAGAAAAAGATGTAGCTAATGTGCATAAGCGTTAAAACTTCCTTCCTGAGCTGTGAGTTGACTCAGTAAGACCAGCCCCTCCCTCAAAGCAGAGGCCCATTTGTCAGAGCTGTCCTAAGCTGTAGGGATGGAAGAACTCAGCTTATTCTTTCCAAATTGTGGACGTTTGTTCTTGCCTCACTGGCTGGTCAGGTACTTAGCCAGGAAATGATAAAGAGGGTACAAGTGTTCTTCCCAGAAGCGCTTGCCATCAACTAAACCCTCCTTGGTGGGTGCTCAGGTCCCTGAAATCAGGCTATGCCTTGTGAGCACCCAGGCTGCTTGAGTTTGCCAAAGCAGTAGTAAATGGACTTGTCTTTCCAGTGCTGTCTAGAGCTCAGTGAAGTGCTGGGGGGTACTTTGTAGGTAGGTGAGATTGCCTACTTTACTTTCTGAGGTGACTTCACATCACCATCAGCATTTATGGCATTGATTTTCCAGCATCCCCAGAGCCTCCTTTAAATTAGAGCAGGGGTCCTCAAACTACGGCCAGCTGAGGACATTTATCTGGCCCCCCGGGTGTTTTTACCGCCTCTGCCTGTCCTGCTTAGCAGCTGACTCCTCCGGGGACCTGCAGTCCGGCCTTCCAACGGTCTGAGAGACAGTGAACGGGCCTCCTTTTTAAAAACATTGAGGACGAAGTCCCCTGAATTAGAGCTTTAGTTGCTCATCTATTCTAGGACAGCACATCCAGAATTGAGGACAGGTTTTATTTTTTTAAACCTTACAGTGACAGAAGACTGGGCAACCTTGAAGAGCACCTGTCTGGTAGAGGCCATGGCAGCATGAGTTGTAATAGCCCAGCCCAGGAGCTTTAGTGTAAGCAGAAAAAAATAAGAAAAATCTACTTTTTATTATCTGTACAAAATAAAAATCAAGAACCCGCCTGCATGCCTCTTGCCTGTAATCCTACCTCTTTAAGACCCCTAAGGCAGAGTATCCCTTAAGGCCAGGAGTTCAAGACCAGCCACAGCAACTTAGCAAGACCCTTCCCCCTCATTTTAACAAAATAAATAAGCTGGGCACGGTGTCTGTAGTCTTAGCTATTCTGGGGGCTGAGGTGGGAGGATCTCTTAAACTCAGGAGTTTCCGGTTACAAGTCAACTTTGATGATGCTACTATACTCCAGCTTGGGAGGCAGTGTGAGACCCTGCCTGTAAAAAAGAAAGTAGAAATCAAAGAACACAGCCTTTTCTATTACTTAATCTTTGTGAATGCAAGACTGATATTTCTAATTCAGGCTTCATTGCTTTGTATAAAGTGTTTTGCAACTAGGAGTCAGGTTTTCTGATCTTTGAAATGTGGGCAAAGAAGTATCTTAGTAAATGTAGGCATCCTTGCTGCTAAGAGGCCGAAGATAAGAAAAAAAGACAGGAAGACGTGTGACATCCAGAGCAGGTTTGCCAGGGACCCTTCTGGGGTGGAGCAGCAACTCAGTGTAGCTCCCAGCCTGTGAATAGCACTGCCCACACCAGGCTGCTGGCTAGTATTGGCTCTTCACACAGGACACAGCTTCCTGGGCTGCAGTTTGATGCCTGCTGCCCAGCACAGTGCCTGGCATGTAACTGGGCTTAATTTCGTGGCTTAGGATGGATGAATAAGTGGAGAACCAGGTTGAGTTTGCAAATGTAAGTTGTAGGTCTGCCCCTCAGACTTAGAACTGGACATTAAATGTAGAGGACAAACTGGTTTATAGAAGCTGGTAAAAGAATAGTGACAGGAAGGAAGTGAAAAAGAAGAGAGTCGTAGCTCAGAGACACAGGCTAGGTGTGCCTAGGAGGAAAACCTCCAGGCCGAGTTTTGAAAGAGATATAGATTCTTTCCCAGAAATTCTCTGTAAAAATAACTGAATTATTAAGGAAGGGTTAGATTTTTTTCTTTTAATATAATCTGTTTAAAGATCAAGGAAGTACAGTAATGATTTTAGAAATATATGAAAAAGTTTGTAATTAGTGAAAAAGAAAGGTTTTGGTGCTAAGTTGTTAAGTTTCAGTTTACTTGGAAATTATTCTTCTGGTCTCCCAGTAATTAGTATTTTCAATGAGATGTATTTCTTAACTTTTGGGTACTGATTCATAGAGAATACCCTGCTAAATAATGAATAAGGCAACCATCTAAAAATTCATAGACAACTAATTTCAAAAACTAATTATGAAAAATACACTGCTGGTAAGATAAAGTTACTAACTTGTTAGTATTTGTTTTGACTGCCAGCACAACTGGTCAGGTAGTGGTTCTTCTCTATTCTTATTGGTCCTGATTTGAAAAAGTACCTTTTAAATTTGCTCTGGCACCTGCCATGTTCCTCCTTTAGGCAGTTGTCACGATAGCCTCCAGAATTAAGTGACTCCACTGTCCTCCACTTCAAACAGCAGGAGCATGAATGAGAGCACATGTGGGCCAGAACTTGGGGCAGGAGTGTGGCTTCCCAGAGAAGCTGATGAGCTGGGGACAGAGCATGACTCTACTAGCTGAATAAATCACAAGAAATCACTTCTTGTGCCTTTGGCTTTTCTTATTAGGGAGGGTGGGGGGTAGGTGAGTCTATAAGATGTCAAAGGACGTTTTTAACACTAGACTCATAGTCTTACTCAAGTGCAGATCAGAGGCAGACTATGAACTTGAAATAACGTACATTCAATGTAAGAGAAAGGAATATTGCTGAAATAGGAATAGTTCATTGCGTAATTACCAATAGGAGCTGAAAATTCTTTAGCCTTTTGACTCATTGAGGTACTTGGAAAAACCTTTATAAGAAAAAAATCAGGTTGCAGCTAGACAAGAGGGGTGCTATAATCCAGTCTCTTGTCTCTGTGCAGGGTCTTTGCCATAGACCTGGCAAGCACATGCAGATTGCTTGGACTTAGAACATATTTCCTTGAGAGTGCATTGCAGTTGGTCTCATTGCCTGTGTGTATTGCATTATTTCAGCAAGTACCTAAGTTTCTGGTCAGGCACCTAGCAGGAGGGTTCAATTTTTGTTTTACTTCCCAAGCCCCTTGGGCAAAATAACAAGAGGTCTGAGGAGCCAGCTTTCCAAAGTCCAGGCAGAAGGCCTAATCTTTGAGCTTGCCTTTCTTTTTCTTGGTAAGGCCACCCCAGATTCCAGGACATTGCCAAGGGTGACTGTCTTCCAACAGTGGGGTATACCTACCTGATGGGGCTGTTCATATTGGTCTTGGTTTTGTGTTTGTTCATGTGAGGCCCTCTGAGTACAGAGGGAGCATTTCATAAAAATATCTTCAGAGTTAAGCTTAGTCCACCTGGTTGAGTTTCTGTGCTTATTAATTCATTGCGAAGTTGGCATGAAGAACTAAAGTAGTTCTTTTTTAACTTTTAGAAGTCTCACAAGTGGCAGTGACATTCTGAAATGCTATATTCATGCCTCAGCATTTTAGCAGGTTGACTTTCACAGGATTGGTTGGTTGTTGCCCCATATTTGAAACACAGAGCCTCAAATGAAAGTACATTTAAAGAAAAGAAACATAAGTTTCCTTTATATCTAAAAAAAAAAGCCAAGTATGGAGAATAATGTACATGTTAGTAGAACTTAGTAAGTAAGCAGAGAATGCCAATTGAGTAATGAAAAACATGGATAAAATTTACCTTTTTCTTGTCATTGGGAAATTATTAAAGATTTTATACCTAAGGATGGTTGGCATTCACAGATAGAAAATTTAAATAGGAACCAGATGATGTATATGTTTTCCTACAAAAGTGTTCAGTTAGTTGAATAGGGTGTTGCAGAAGAGCCATAGAATGTGTGATATAAAGAGATGCACAGCAACATCCCCTCACCTGTCACTCCTGGTATGCGGGTGGCTTTCAACAGAAAGGTGGTTGGTTTATTTGTGATCAGTTCTAACTTAATTAGATCCATTTCTCTGTATCTTCAGGGTAGGGTGTCCATGCTTATTCTCTGATTCTTTATCTGTCTAAAGCACTATTTGTGGAGACCTGGGGGCCACAGGTATTGGCAGAGATAAAGAAAAGAGAAAGGAAGGAAGGAAGGAGAAAGAAGATACAGTCAGAATAAGAATGTATTAACCCCTGTCTGCAAGTGACATTGAGAGGTACAAGATTTTGGAGTTGCTGATGACAAGTGGCCTAATCAAGGTCCTCAGCTCCATTTCTGGGTCTTCTCCTGTGTCTGATTAACATTACTCTGAACCAGACGTGCACAGATGTGTGCACGGTGCAGCTGGGATGACACTGGCATCACTTGCTGCTGCTGTGGGGAAGGGGTAGGGCTGAGTCTGCAAAGAGAGGAGCCGCGTTAATAGACTGGTGTCAGACTGGAGGCTTAAAGATTCAGTGCAAATGTGGTCAAATCTTAGAAGAGTAGCTAAGTACCAATAGTTGAGAGGGTGGGAGGTTAGATAAAGTCAATTTTATTTCTAGAACCCACCTACTTGAAATGGCTTTCCTATGATAAATTATAAGTAGCTTGTGAGTATTGACAAACATGTTGAACACATTTGGCAGTGTCAGGGCTGTTGGTGGCCCTGGAGGCAGATGGCTACCAGATCTTTGCCCTAACACCAGCCTCACTTGGGTGAATAGCAGGATTGCTTCTCAGACGCTGGATTTTTGGGACTTCTGTTACCTGCCAGACCTTTTCATGAGAAATGCTAAGGTCTTTTTATTGATAAGAATTGCTTGAAAAGTAATTGCTTGAAAAGTGCTTTGCTTGGTTGCAGGATGAGTTTGACAAGCTGAGGCCTCTTTGCTACACCAACACAGACATCTTCCTGCTGTGCTTTAGTGTTGTCAGCCCCTCATCTTTCCAGAATGTCAGTGAGAAATGGGTGCCGGAGATTCGGTGTCACTGTCCCAAAGCCCCCATCATCCTGGTGGGAACACAGTCGGATCTCAGAGAAGATGTCAAAGTCCTCATTGAGTTGGACAAATGCAGAGAGAAGCCGGTGCCTGAAGAGGCAGCTAAGCTGTGTGCCGAGGAAATCAAAGCTGCCTCCTACATCGAGTGTTCAGCCTTGACTCAAAAAAACCTCAAAGAGGTCTTTGACGCAGCCATCGTGGCTGGCATTCAGTACTCGGACTCTCAGCAACAGCCAAACAAGTCAAAAAGCAGGACTCCGGACAAAGTGAAAAACCTTTCCAAGTCCTGGTGGAAGAAATACTGCTGTTTCATATGATGCTGGCAAGACACTCGGAAAGGCTCTTTTCAAGTGAAATTGATATTAGAAGCTATATTAGCTGAAACGACTCCTTTTACTGTATAGAGCCCATATAGAAAATGTGTGTTTGTATGATAGGTGGAGCTCTCAATTTATGTATTTTTTCTTGCTTTTAATTTTCTTATTGTTTCTTTGAATTTAAGGATAGATACTTACGCAGGATATTTATGAAGTAAGTTAAGAAGTTTTCAACACTCTGGAAATTTAGAGCTTAGAGCTCTTGATTAATTTATATCTAATATGAGGAAGACACCAGGAATCTGGATATGTCACGAATGAAGTTTTCCTACATTATAATGCACAGAAGAACAAAAGGGGGAATGCTGCATTTAACCCTCTCGACTAAGGGCTGTTAATGTACAGTGTGTTACGTACTTGGGTCAACCTTGGTAAGAATAATTCTTAGCTTTGGAACTTCATGCAAACTATACCTTTTTTAAGAACAAAAATCTAAGAAAAAATGAGTGATCTCTGCCTGTGAAACCTCAGACCAATCACTTTTGTCTCTAATACCCAGTTGTTTAAGATTTAAAAGCAGCAACCAAAATATCCCACTGAGTAAATAGCAGAAAATAAATCATATTTATTGTTTTTTTTTTACCTTTAGACCAGCGCATTGACATTGTATGAACATAGCCAGCGTGCCATGCAGAGGAAAGCAAGTATTGGTCAGTAGTTGTGATATTTTCTTCAGGGAGTGATTCATGTCGGAATCAGAATGTGACACTTGCTTTCCATACTATAATGTGTGCATTGAGCTCCTGAACCCCAGGAGGTAAGAGCACCAGGGAGCACCTACCTGAGTTGTTTTTAAACTTCCGTATTCAAGCTGTCCCATCTGCAGGGAAGTAAACACTCTTACAAGCCCAACAGTAAATGTTTATGGGACACAAAATGTACCCTTTTTTCCTTAAGTGAGGCAAAAGTTACTTCATTTGCACACACCTGTGTCCTCACACACACATGTATGTGTGCATGGCTTTACCTGCTGCTGATTCAGGCTTTTAAACTGTTAATGGGAGAAAGTATGGCCCAGAATACAGATATTAGGGAAGCTTGGCTGTTTCTTCTCATTAACACTTTTTTGAACAAACGTCTTTTTGATTTTATTCTAGATACGATTTTGAATATATCTTAATGTATACATTTTTGAGACTATTTTGAAACAAAAAATAAAATGAGCATTTATTGAAACCTGTGAAAACAACCAGTTAAATCCACAGATGGCCTTTGGTGTACTGGCAGCAGAGACCAGCACTGTGTGTCTAGGAGCCGCAGAGGGGTGGCAGGGGTGGGGGGCTATGGGGTCAAGTGTGGCCAGGCAGGGGCATGCTGGGACCACGGCCCCCACAGTGGCTTTTTCCTTATTGTGGAACAGTCAGAAAACCACATTTGTGAAACATATCTTTCAAGGTGGCACTTTTTTAGGTCTGAGAGTAGTTTTTACTATGTGGTAGGTGTGCTCCTGAGGTGACACAGGTGGCCTGAACACTCTGAATTATAAAGTCAAGCTACCAGTGGGGTGGAGCTGAGTCTCCAGATCACTTCAGTAACGAACTAGGGAACTGTAAAGCCAGTGGATAGAAGAGGTTTATCTTTCTTCAGGTTTTGTGTTGTCCTTTTTATAGTTAAAAAAAATACAATTTGTGTTTTTCTATTAAAAAAAAAGATCAGGTTATGCTTTAGGTAGGGGCTTCTTTCATTCCTCTTGGTAAATGAAATGAACAAGTTTCTTTGTTTAACAAAAGTTAATTTTTAAACCACTAAAATACATAGACTGTTATCTATTGATTTTTCCACACGTTGAAATTGATATCAGTCATGGTTTTCTAAAACATTTAGTCACAACTTGAGGGAATAAAATTATTTGTGAAAATGCTTTAACTAGACCTAATTAAATACATCTCATCTTGCTGTACTGGCTTACGTATTTGTAGAAAGCTAAGCGTCCCAGTCGGGGCTTTGCCTGCTCTGGTATGCAGATGTGGAGGGGGGAAGATGAATTATTTAACTGGTAAATAACATTATTTTTACATTAAAGCAAATGGCATGGAGTACAGTGTAAATTAGTTTTTAATATAGAACACAAAACTTGAAAGAAGTTTATGCATGTGACAGTGTTCGGGAATGCACTTGGTCCTCCAAAAGGGGCCTCCAGCACTCTCTGCCTTTAGGCCACTGGTAGGAAGTGGTCAGCACCTGTGTGGCCCAGTTCTGAAAGCTTTGTGCAAGCAGCGTAACTTTAATGGTACAACTTGGATCATTAGTTCTAAAATTCACCTAGATTGACAATTAAATGAAAGTTAAAAAAAAAACCATTGCATTTTATAGAATAGTAAAGATATGATTATACTTGAGATTTTTGTCCATTTTTCTTTGTGAAAATAGGGTGTGGGGCTGAAAAATTTTTATGTGTCTAAGTTAAATATAAAAAGTTGGTTCACCTCAAAGCTGAAGAATTGTTAAACTTGCAGCTTGGTATTGCAGAGATTTCATGAACATTTCACTTCAGATAACGCCTCTGTGGCTGAACTCCTGCGGTCAGACCACCATCCTGATTTTATAAATGCCACCTGCTCCCAAACTGTGTGTTCCTCTTGTTACTGCATATGTGTGAATGGACCTTTCACAACCCTGTTCTCTGCTTGCCAGACTTGAGAGAAACTACCCAGATATCGCCTGAGCCAAACGAGAGCGAGGTCTTCTCTCCAGACTGTGGTAACCAGGTGGTGCCTTACCAAGTTGTGCTTTTCTCATCTGTAAATGATACTGAGCAAATGTTATTTGAAAATGCTATAAATAAGATGGTACGAAATAAATTCTTACCTATGGATATAACTGCTCTTCCCTGTACACCAAAGCATTTTGTAGAAAGTGTATACCCATGTCTTAAAGTGGCACCAGGTGGGAAGCATCTTGGTATGCCCTCAGAGGACTTGTGGAAATGGATCTCTGACCAACTTTTTCTTTTATTTTTTTTGGACAAGTTCTTGCCCAGGCTGGAGTGCAGTGGCAGGATCATAGTTCACTGTAACATCACACTCCTGAGCTATAGCAATCCTCTCACCTTAACCTCCTGAATAGTTAGGACTTACGGGCACATGCCATGATGTTCCTAGTAATTTTTTTTTTTTTTTTTTTTTGTACAGAAGAGGGCATGCTATGTTGCCAGGCTGGTCTCAAACTCCTGGCCCCAAGCAATCCTCCTGCCTTGGTCTCCCAAAGTTCTGGGAGTGAGAACACTGTGCCTAGGCCCTAACCAATATTAAACACTTACACAGTATGGGTTTTTGTGAAATCTGGGGTCACATTCTGTTAACCATTTTCTGATTGCATTCTTGACAGATCATGTGCTGGTGTCCTAGTGTGTCAGAAGGAGCTGGAAGTTCAGCTCAGAGAAGCATTAGTGTGGGATGAAACTAAGACTGGGCTGGGGGTGGTAGCAAGTGCCTGCAGTTCCAGCTACTCAGGAGGCTGAGGCAGGAGGATCACTTGCGCCCAGGAATTTTAGGCTGCTGAGCTATGATTACACCATTGCACTCCAGCCTGGGAGAGCAAGACCCTGCCTCAAAAAATTAAAAAGAAATAATAAAATTTAAAAAAGCAAGAAACTATGAAGGCAGAGATCTGAACCTAAGTTTCCTAATATCCAAACAGTCCTGCCTTCTCACTAGGCTATTTGAATCCTGAACAATGCAGGGAAGCAACCAAGGTTTGTAAATCACCATGAAAGGGGTTAGACGTCTCAGGAACTGTGAGGCCTGAACAACTGAAGACCAGGGGTCCCTGTGGCCAGAGGGGCCAGCAGCTGCTGTTGTGGTTTGTGTGATTTCTTCAGATTCTCGAAGTGAGTCTTCTCATCATGTCACGGGGATGCAGTTTTTATATCTGGGACTTCAGGGAATGGGACGGGGGGGGGGTCACCATTCTGAGGGGCTGGAAGATGTTCGGCTTCACCCTCCAGCCTCAAGATCGTGTAGTGAAGGGTGGACCCACCCACATTGCTCCCTATCACATCATAGAGGCCAGGCTACAACTTTCATGAGTATTCATGGGATGTTCAGCCACAACAGGAGAAAGTAATATGGGGATTGCAACTAACAGGACTAGACTACCCAGTTCCACACCTGCGGGGGGTGCCCGGAGCCTGCTGGCTTCCTGTCCTTGGCAGAGCAGCTGTCCCACCCCAGAGGGACTCAGACCTTTCTCCTCATGCAGGAGAAACCGACATCCTGGCTGGGCCTTCCTGTGGGGAGGTCAGGGTGTGTGCACAGAAGTGTTTATTAAACCCGAAGGAGTGAGCATGAGAAGCGTCTGGGAGAAGTGAACAGAGAAGGTGGAGGCCTTGAGACAGAGGGGTGTGGCGTATGTCAGGACTGCAGGGAGAAGCAGGGAGATGTCTCAGAGGGGCCCAGAGGGGAGGGGGTGAGGGGGAGGAAGGCAGGGAGAGGCTGGGCTCTGAAGTCAGGCTGCTAGGGCTTGAATCCCAGCTCTGCCACTCAGTGGTTGTGATTCCTTGAGCTGCATTAACCTCTTGACCTCTCTCTGTCTAAGCTTTGTGACCCCTAGAGAGGATAAGCATGGCACCTACTCCAATGGGTGGATGATGGGACCCGGTGAGCTTCTGAGCAGAAAGTGCTAGTCACACAGGAAGTGCTCAGTCACTGCTCGCTCTGCTTTGTCTTCTGAGCAGACCTGGTCAAGGGTTTCTTTCATTTTCTTCCCAGCAGGGACCCCCAGTGGATCATCTCCCACTGAGCATCCCCCGAGGTAACAATCAGCTTCTAATAGTTTCCATTGTCATCTCTATTACATTTTATGAGGCTTACACTTCTTTATGGACAATAGCACATTCATTTCCTCATTTCCACTAATTTTTATAAAATTAGAGCCAAATTATACGGTGCAGATTACTGGAGTGCTGCACAGAATGGCTCTGTGGAGCAAAGCTGCGGCTGCGGTGAGCCGGGGCGGCGGGTGGGGGGTGCGGGAGCAGGCTGGCCCTCCAAACCCCTGGGCTCATCCTCAGCTGGTGAAGCAGTCACGTCTGAAGTCAGTGGGCAAGGAAGCAGCACTGGCTGGCATTATGTGGAAGTTGAGAATCTCACTGGTCCCCAGCCTCTACTGGCTGTCCTTGACCCCAGTCATGCAAGAAGCTCTTGCTGCAACCAGCATATTCTTACCCTTTTCTATTCGTCCTTTGACAGCCGGAGTCACCCCGCCACAGCCTCTGCTGTGGTCTGGTACAGTGTACAGCCCTAAGGACAAAACCAAGTCTGGAAGAGGTGCAGCTTGCTGGGGTAGGGAAGGCAATATTTATCTTCAAAAAGAAGACATTCTGGCATAGAATATCCCATTTCCCTTTCATCCTCTCCTCCTGAATGTCCTTCAGACTTATTGCATTTATTTCCCGTGGCTGCCATAACTAATTACCACCAACAGTGGCTCCACACAGACTTAGTACTTAGAGCAGGCATTTCACCCTCTGTGCCATGGCACACTGGTGTGCTGTGAGACGATCTTAGGTGTGCCTCAAAAATTTTGAAAGATCATTAATTAAATTATTTTCCAAGGAAGTTCAAAGCACAGTGAAATGTATTTTTTTGACTCCTTTTTTGGATCAACATAACTTAAGTGTGCTGCGTATGTTTAACTATAGGTTCAAGTGTTCCATGAGATAAAGAAGGTTGAAAAACACTACCTTAGGCTCAGCGCCCATAGAACAGTGGTTACGAGGCTGGCAGGTTCAAACCTGGCCAGGGCTAGCTAAACAACGATGACAACTACAACCAAAAAAAAAAAAAAAAAAAAAATTAAAAAAGAAAAACAAAGTAGCCGGGCTTTGTGGTACACACCTGTAGTCCCAGCTACTTGGGAGGCTGAGGTGAGAGAATCACTTAAGCCTGAGAGTTTGAGGTCGCTGTGAGTTGTGACACCACAGCACTCTACCAAGGAAAACATAGTGAGACTCTGTCTCAAAAAAAAGAAAGAAGGAAAACACTGCCTTAGAGCCTGGAGGTGAGGAACGTGACAAGGGTCTCATTGGGCTAAAAACGCATCAGCAGAGCTGTGTTACTGTGTTGCTCCGAGGGGGATTCTGTTTTCTTGCCTTGAATTGGGGTACAAAAACCGCCGACATGAATATTTTACTTCTTTACCTGGCTTTGCCTGGATGGGGAAATATTTGCCATATAGCTTTATTTATTTATTGCATTTCTTCTCAATCAGCTAAAGGTATTATAGCAATTTGGCATATACTCCTTGTCACTATGGAAAATATTCCCATGAGGGTATTCTTATAGTTCAAACTCAGAGCACAGCCAGAAAGTAACATTCTAGTCTACCCTTCCGCACACAAACTTGGAAATATCACTGGCGTCAAGCACTCTTTGACAGAAGCTGGGTAATAGTTCAGGCTTTAAGGCAAGAACCAAAATTGTGATGTAGCTGGTGGAAAGAGAGTTACATGCTTCAGAAGCAAATGTAAAATCTGACATTTTACCGTGAAAATAAGAAAGACTGACTGTTACTATCTACACTCCAGTTTGTCATGGACTTGGACCGTGGCCAGGCCAGGATTCCATTTTGTATCTGCCCAAGTGTCTCAGGAGTTATTCAACAGAGCTTAGAGCTCTGTGATGGCCACGGTGTCATCAGCCACAGCAATAACAAGTGAAATATTTATAATTAGATTGGCTTTACTCATTTATTTATCTAAATATATGATAAAAAATACCCCGAACCAGAAAACACACACACACACGCAAAATCACCCAGAATCTCCAAACTTTTTCCTTCCACTCTGATTCTCTTCCTCCTGTGTCCTCCTCTTTCTGGGATTTTCCTGGGTTTTCAATGTTCATTCTGAGATTAAATCTCAGGCCAGAACACAAAGCTAGGAGGGCTTATTATAGCACATTAATGATCTAAACCCAGACACAGTCACTGATTAATGGATTTTCAATGCACTTAATTTGTGTACAAAATATACTTCCTTGAAAAGGAAACCCTTATACACTGCTGGAGGGAATGTCTACAGTACAGCCACTGTGGAAAGCACAGTGGAGATTTCTCAGAAAACTAAAAGTAGAATTATCATTCAATCCAGCAATCTTACTACTGAGTGTCTGCCCAAAGGAAAAGAAGTTGGTATTTGACAGGCACACCTGCACTCTCCTGCTCCTGCAGCACTAATCACAACGGCAACGACAGTGACTCGATCTAAATGTCCCTCAGTGAACGCAGATAAAGGAAACATGGTGTATAGAAACAACGAAATATGATTCAGTCATACAAAGAAGAAAATCAGGTCATCTGCAGCAACGTGGATGGAACTGGAGGTGATTATCTTAAGTGAAAAAAGCCAGGCACAAAAAGGCAAATATTTCATGTTCACAGTTGTATGAGGGAGCTAAAAAATGTGAATGCATGGAGGTAGCTAGCGAGGCATGAAAAACAGGTAACAGACACTGAAAAGAGTGAGCAGGGTGGGGAGGAGGAGGATGAAGAGCAGGGGTTAAAGGTCACAAACAAACAATAAGACAGAAGGAATAAACTCAGTGTTTGAGATAGCAGGGCAGGATGACTGTACTTAATAAAAATATACAGCCCTTGGCCAGGCGCAGCGGCTCATGCCTGTAATTCTAGCACTCTGGGAGGCTAAGGGGGGTGGATTCCTTCAGCTCATGAATTTGAGACCAGCCTGAGCAAGAGTGAGACCCTGTCTCTACTAAAAATGAAAAACTAAGGCAAGAGGATCACTTGAGCCAAAGAGTTTGAGGTTGCTGTCAGCTATGATGCCACAGGCACTCTACCAAGGGTGACAAAGTGAGA